GCAGGGTTGAGATATTTTTACCCACGGCCGGAAAGTGGGGACGACGCGACCATGGTGGGGACCAATAGTTGGTGAGGGTATGCAGTGATTTTCACGGTAGCGCTGCGGAGAGCTTCGCGAACGCGCATGAGCACGCATGAGGGGAATAGTAGTGGGGATCGAAATACGGGCGAAAAACAGGGGAAGCGAGCGTCGTGGGTAAAAATATCTCAACCCTGGTCCAGGGGTCGGATATTTTATCCCTCGGCCGGAAAGTGGGGACGACGCGACCATGGTGGGGACCAATAGTTGGTGGGGGTATGCACTGATTTTCACGGTACCGCTGCGGAGAGCTTCGCGAACGCGCATGAGCACGCATGAGGGGAATAGTAGTGGGGATCGAAATACGGGCGAAAAACAGGGGAAGCGAGCGTCGAGGGATAAAATATCCGACCCCTGCCCTGGTCCGAATACTTTCATGAGCCACTGTATGTCTTCAGTTGAATTTCGATGCTCTTATTTTGTTATGCTGCATCTGACTTTAGTTTTCTCTATCGTGCGAAATCATCTCCTTCGTTATCTCTATCCCTATCTCTTGTTTCTGCCGTATTTCTAATATACTAAAATCATTGCTTCTCAGATACTTTTCCCTTTCTGATATATTTCTAATTCTGATTCTTTTTTCTTCTTTCTATATTTTTTGATCAATTTTCTCCCTTCTCCTCTGGCCTTTTTTTCAAATCCCTACGCTCTCCTGTCAGCTTTGAGTCTTATTTTATCTCTCTCCGTTTCTTCCAATATTGTATACTTGGAAGTCTGCTAAATCTCAACGCCCATTTTATGTATCTCACCTGCACTTTCTCCACTTCCTTTTCTCTTAAAACCCAACAGCTCCACTTAGTATAGAAGAGTTTCAACACCAAACTGTCAAACATCCTTAATCTAAAATCATTTCTAAATTTACTTTTCCCTCCAATTCAACGTACAATTCACTATTAGTAAATAATAATTGTTAATCAATTTTCAGGATCTGAAAGCAGTAACTCAAGACCTCTTCAACCTACTCTTCACAGTCCTCTCAATGGTAAAACAAGACTGCATCACATCTAAATCTCAACAACTATTAAATACTCTTTCTACCATGAATTCAATCAGCATTGACACTCTCTACGAACAAAATTTACCCCAACTCTTCTCAAACTTATCAGACAACAACTCTTGGACAGTGCACAGTCCAGACTTCGAAATATTCAGCTCCAGCTTCATTTATGTCAAACAATTATTACTAAGTAATATAAAAATTACGTTTCCAATTTTAAAAGAAACAATTTCAATTAAAAGGGAACCAGAATTGAGACTCAAACTGTATATTTTACTCGCTCAGTACTTTGAGAAACTGCCTCTGAATGAAACAATGGATTCAGAATATTGTGATCAATTTTTAGAGCATTGCATTTTGAGTAATTTAATTTGGAGCGCAGGAAGAAGCGCAGAGGCTGTGAGAACTGCTTGTGTCTGCTGTTTATGCACATTTTTGGATAAGTATTCAGAATATTCCCAAGAATTAAGCAAGGCAATGAAGTTCGAAGCTGTATCTACAATTTTAGATAAAATTGTTCCAATTTTGTTAAGCTTGGCTGAGGAAAACTCGACGAAAACTAGATTTTATTCAATCAGAGCTTTGTATCTGGTTACGTTAGTGAAAAAGCAATATGATTACTCTCAAGACGATTGCGTTAACAAGATTTTTCCAGTTTTGTTGAAGAGACTGGACGATGGATCTGATGATGTGAGAGTTATTGCGTTAGAGGCTTTGACTGAGGTTTTTCGAGGTGTTTCCGAGAAATATGATGTGAAGTTTAATAGAGGACTTGTGGATGCTTTGTATACAACTGTTGTTATCTATTTGGATGATCCTGATGACCAGTTTCAAGAGAAAGTTTTAGGTAAGAGTAAACTAAAAGTTATGTCATAACTAATTTTTCTCTAAGAACTGTAAATATTATTTAAATAAGTTTTGGACACATTTTAGAAGTAGCATTGCTCTCTCGTGTAAGGATAAGCTATAAACTTTATTAAATCGCAAGAAATTGTTCCAAATACGACGTGTTCGCTGTTATGCGTCTGGGCGCTCGCAAGGAACTATGCCTGCTTCGACAC